TATGTTGAGGTGATGTGTCAGGAGTCTGAACTTTTATTCTGAACACATTAATAAGTCTTTGAAGTGTTTTAACCAGTTTAGTAAAAAGGTCAGATTGGTGTTTGGAAGCTAGGCTAGAGTCTGGGAAAGAATTCTGGAAAAAGGGGAGCAATTAGAAGACTCTTTTGTACAGTAACCTACTGCTGCAATGAAGAGACCCTGAATTAGGGTAATAGTAGGAATGGAAAGAAGGTGATAAATTCAGTAATATTTAGGAGATAGATTTGGTGAGACTGAGTGATTGGGATGAGGGGAAGAGTTAAGGATAACTAAGGGTTTCTATCTTGGGGTAGGTGGATTAAATTTTCACCAACTAAGAGTGGGTTTCAGAAGATGAGCAGGATTAGAGAGATTAAATAATATTGAATAAGTTGATCTCTAGGTATATGTGAGACATTCAAATGGAAGAGGTAACAGGAATATGAAACTCAAAGGACAGACAGATCTGGTTTCAAAATATGTATTTTAGAAGATTATCACATAAAATCCATGCAAATAGATGAGTTTATCCTGGGATCATGTCTCAGGATAAAAAGGTGGACTGACAGTAAAGCCTGGGAAAACATTTGCATTTAAGGACCACGTATAAAAGAAGTGCAAAAATGAGTTGTTCAGTGATGAATGAAGAGAACCTGGAGAGTATGAATGTCAAGAGAATAGTGAGTTTCAAGGAGAGTGTAGTCAGGAGTATCCTTCACTGAAACTGGAAGACATGTTTCTTAGGAAACTGATTGGAATCCTTGCATGTCCCTTTCTGAGTTAATGGTAGTTACTACTCTGAATGTCTTTTTGTCCAAGATTTACCTCTAATTCATCTTCCTTGAAGCTTTTCCTATTAGCTTTAATACTCCTAGCACTTTTATTTACATTTGTATGGCTCTTATGATGTAAGTTTTTCCCCTTCCTTGTTTAAAGTGTTACCTGTGTTTATTGTTGAAAAAAATCAGAAAAGTGCACGGAATATGGTATTTCTAACACTTAAGATTAAAGACTTAATGCTCTTGGTATTTAGTGCAGAGAAGTTTTCCAGGTAGGTGTAAATTTACATTCTTTTCAGTAGTGTTTAACAATGTCTAGTTAACTATATCCTCATTAAAGTTGAATATTAATATTAAAAACCATTTTTTTGTCAGTTCGATCAAAGAAAAGAAAATTTAAACAATGAATCTAATTATATCATTGATTAATAATTAGGCAGAACTTTGTTTTCTCTAGCCAGTTCATGAAGTTTCAGCAATGAAGGTATAACCTTCAATTATATATGATAAACTAATACAGTTTTTGAAATAAATTCTATTTTATATTCAGATTTTTTATTTTAGCTTAATTTCACTGTTCACCGGTTCTGGCTGGCATATTGTAAAATTTGGCCCCAGAGCTCTTTAACTTTTATGAGATACTGTCCTAAAGAAAGTGCCATTAGATAATGTAATAAACAAAATATAAATAAGGAAAGTGTTTGGGTTTCACAGGTGTTCCTTTTCATGTTAGAGAGTCAGTAGTGGTCATTGTGTTTTACTTAAGAACGCAAGCACCTAATTAAAAGCACTTAGCTTTTAGAATTAGTGTCAAAAGAGAGTAATTAATTTTTTTTGGCATTTCAGACAAAGTAGTAATCATCAGAAAATAATGTATATTGATTTATTGAGAAGTTCTGTAGACACTGTATATCATAGTCCTCCCCAAAACATTTACTGTTAATATTTTAATTTTGTTCCTAACTTTGGGTTCAGTTAAGCTCTTCATTCTTTTTCGGTAAATGGTAAAACATTGCTGGAGAATCTCTCTCAAGCTCTATCTTAAAAGATTCCGTAGTTCTATAGGTATGATTTCCTATAAGCTCTTTCCATATAAAAGCAAGTGTATATATAGAGTGCAATTTTGCTATCATGTGTGCACAAATGTGTATGTTGTTTATATATAATGTAACAAAACAACAATAGAACAAGTAATTTTAAGGATACCTTCTTTTTTTTTCTGTTATAGTTCCTAATGGAAACTAATACACTGAAAGAACACATCTGCTGAGTAACCTGATAAATCTCAATTGTTGTTCTTTTGGATTTAGGATGGATGGGAAACAAAATACTTTTATGCAATATTCTTTTGATTTCTTACAGATTATGAAGTTAGAAATTGATGAGATTGCAGCACCTCGATCGTTTATTTTTCTCTGGTGTGGTTCCGGGGAGGGGTTGGACCTTGGAAGAGTGGTAAGATGGTGCTTTTATAAAGTGAATTTTTACATTAATGAGAAAAAAAAAAGTAACAGTATTTTGCATAGGAAGTTTGAAAATTGATGTTATTTTGTCCTTTGTTTCTTGAATAATTCTAAAATAGTGAGAAAATAATGTCCAGAAAAGAATGTAAGAAATGCAATACTTGTAAGTCAGTTAACCAGCACTAGGTACTCACTGAACCTAGTGTAGTCAGTTGAATGAATGTGTAGCTCTTTCAAAAGATACTTTATTGCAAGTGTAGGAAGAGAACAGCTTAAAGAGTTGAAACTCCAAATTATACCTCAAAAATGAGCTGCTTTGGTATTATTTACTATTCTTTATAAGTAGCTAAAAAGTATTCTAACTAGCATTGGCTCCTGATATCCAAATAGAAGTCACATAAAATTGGAAAAGTAACACAGCATATGGAAGACATGAATGAATGAATGAATGAGAAAGATATAACACCTGAACTTATTTTAAGATTCTGATATTTAATTGTATTTTAGAGCTTTTTTATTTATTTATTTTTTTTATTGGAGTTTTTTCTCTTTTTTTTGAGACAAGGTCCAACTCTGTTCCCCAGGCTGGAGTACAGTGTGGCAAACATGGCTTACCGCAGCCTCAGTCAACCTCCTGGGCTCATGCAGTTTTCCCATCTCAGCCTCCTAGTAGCTGGGACCACAGGCACAACACTACCCCTGGTTAGTTTTTTCAGTATTTGCAGAGATGAGGTCTTGTTATGTTGCCCAGGCTGTCCTCAAACTCCTGGGCTTAAGGGATCCTCCCACCTCAGCCTCCCAAAGTGCTGGGATTACAGGCATGAGCCACCACACCCGGCCCTGATTGGAGTATTTTGCCAAAAGGAACAAAATAATATTTATATATGCTGTTTTAAACAAGAATAATGACAGTATTATGACTATGTATCAGGAATCTTAATTTTGCTCTCAATTCAGCTGCTATGCAAAAAGGTACTTACTGCTGAGGGTCCCAGTTTTGTCATGTTTTGTTGGTTGACACTTTCCATTTTTATGACATATTACTTCTTACGCTCCAAATGATTTCATTTAATCATTCCAATTTGGGGAGGTATTCATTTAACAGTTGAAAAATTTAAGTAGGATTATATGAGATAACAAGTACAATTATACGGAAATAAGATTGTGCCCCAATTCTGAAGTTCCACAATTACTTTATATTCTTTACATAAATAGTAAGGCTGTTGGGTAATACCATTGCTTCTATCATTTACCAACTACAAGATAGACTATAATTGTATTTCAGTTGGGTGTCTCCTTTTTTTTGGTAGTGGCTCTTCATGATGCTATGGAAAAGTTAGAAACAAATGTTTTCATAGGTATATTGGTATTCACTTTGCCTTAACTTTAATATCTGACTTCGATCTTTCCTTGCATTCCCCAAATTAGATTGAAAATGATTAGGAGGTTTTTTATACTTTTTTTTTTTTTGAGACAGAGTCTTGCTCTGTTGCCCATGCTAGAGTGCGATCCTGGCTCACTACAAAACTCTGCCTCCCAGTTGAAGCAGTTCTGCCTCAGCCTCCTCAGTAGCCATCTGGGAGATTTTTATCTTATTTGCTTATGCAGCAGTTTATCATACTGGTGAAAGTTTAGCGAAAAACTATTTAAAAAAATAATTTAGCATGAGAAATACTCATGAGCTTTTGATAAATTAGTGAATTAGGGCATGTAGAATTTAGGTCATAGTGATATTAATGACACTTGGTGCAAAATAAATATTTAGTAACAGGAACAGATATTGGTCTTGATTATGGAGATTTTAAAATAAAATTCTACTGGGCACAGTGGCTCATGTCTATCATCCAGCACTTTGGGAGATTGAGGCGGGCAGATCACTTGAGGCTAGGAGTTCAAGACCCTCAGCCTGGCCAACATGGTGAAACCCTATCTCTACTAAAAATACCAAAATTAGCAAGGAATGTTGGCTTGTGGTCCCAGCCACTTGGGAAGCTGAGGCATGAGAATTGCTTGAACCTGGGAGGTGGAGGTTGCAGTGAGCCAAGATTATACCACTGAACTCCAGCCTTGGTGACAGAGTCAGACTCTGTCTTAAACAAAAAATAAAATTTTAAATTTTATTTTGAGATTTTATCTTACATTGCCCAATAAGTATTTCTGAAAAGTAAATGTTTCCCACTCTACTGCATCTTTTTATGTACTGATCGTCATACTAGCAATACAGTACTTATTTATTTTTCCCTCCTTTACTCTTAATCTTAAGTTGATAGGGGTAGGGACTGTATCTTATTCATAGCTTTATTCCCAGCAGCTAGCCAGCAATGGCATATGGTAGGCTTTCGAATGTCACTGTGAGCAGTCATTTAGCTGGTATTTGTTTCATGTTCATGTATAACAGATTCTAGGAGATTAAGATTCACATCTTTATTTTCTAGATTATATAGAGATGAAAGTACAGTTTTATCCAACAAAGAGCTAAACTTAACAATTTTAAGTCTGAACATTTTTACAGTTGTATTAAATATAGAAATACACTTTTATAAGACTCATTTGATGTTTGCATTTAGAAAATTTTCAGCAGTGTATAGCTTTGTCAGAGAATAGAATATTGAGGTGGCAGGAATCAAATTGTCTTTTGAACTATTTTGTGGTTACAGAAGGTCTGAGTGCTTACAATTTAAAACCCAGTATCCATTAATGACAAGAGGATGAGGAATTGGGATTTTTTTTTTTTTAATTTAAAGGCATTTTTTTTTTTTTTTGACAAACAACATGGGAGAAAAAGCATGATAAAGAGGAGACGGCTATTATCATCGAGACAGAGCCGGCAGCTCAGTTGGACATGGAGGGTGGCAGGCCAGGACGCCGAGTCTGGATGATTTTTGGCTTTGGGGAAGTCTTTGGGTCCTCTTCTTCCTCTATGTCACTGTCGCACATGTGCACGACGACACTTGGGGTGGACTCAGTCCCTGCATGGAGCTCATACTTCTCTCCTGGTCCTAGTTTGGCCGCAGCATAGAGGAGGTCGTAGTTGAGGACGGGAGTGGCATTGATGGGCTGCCAGCCGACAGGTGGGGAGGAAGGGAGCGATATGAGAAATTGTTTGGCAGGCTGGGGTGGAGCCAAGTGCAGTTTGTCTCCATCTGTCTCTGGAGTCTGAACCTGTGCAAAGTAGAGTTTTAATTTTTTCCCTCTGAATTGGGTTTCATGAAGCTCTATCCTAGCTCGGGCTGCAGATTTAGGATTGCTGAAGTTTATGCGGACACGTCTGAAACTCTTAAATAGCTGGAACGTCACACAGTCATCATAAGTCCAGAAGAGGCCCTCAAATTTTTCCTTCTGACTACACTTGGTCTCCCTTGGAATTGGGATATTATGTAATCCTTTCTGTGTTTTGATATTTAACTATATATGTGACATTGATATCCAAAAGGTAAATATGTATCCTATATATGGCTGTATATTTAAAGACTGGCATTTCTTCCTATACTCTACACTAAGACAAAATTACCTTGAAACCTTGGAATTTAGTGTCTGAAACCTCTAGAAAGTTTTTTTTTTAATGCTGTTGGTTATTGTAAGTATTGTTTATTTCTTTAAGTTAAGGATTTCTGTTTAAAATTCTTTCTTTTCTAGTGTTTACGAAAATGGGGTTACAGAAGATGTGAAGATATTTGTTGGATTAAAACCAATAAAAATAATCCTGGGAAGACTAAGACTTTAGATCCAAAGGCTGTCTTTCAGAGAACAAAGGTATTGCCTTTACTGATTTGTTTTTTTTAAATTTTCATGATTTTCTCTTAAGCTTTTCCAAATCACTGTATGTTGTTTAATTAACTTTGTGAAAAGGTCCTTTTCTTAGACTTGTAAAGACAGCATTGAGCATTACATGAATACATCCAAGTTAGGTTTTAAATGATGTATTCACCATCTTAGATCTCCCACCATGCTAGAAAGGGGAGTATGTATGTATTCCTCTATGTCCTAAATGCCAGTTTCTAAGTTAAATAAAGGCTTTTGATCCTCCTTTCCCACAGAATTTTTCTTTATCTAGGCTCAGAAAGAAAAGATAGCAGCAAGACTCTAGCTGGCCAGCTTAGAAACATATTTCTCTCTTCTTCTTTTTCCCTGAGAACTTCTGCTTCATGTGACTCTGCCCTGCTAGTATCAGGCTTTAAAAGTTTTTATTCTTCACTTTTGAGGGAGCGAGTGGTAGGAGGATCTTTCTTATTTAGTCTTTTTTGGACTGGAATCATGCCTAGGTAATGAAGCCTCCATAAAATCCTAAGACAGGGTTGGAGAGCTTCTGTGTTGGTGAACCTGTGGAGTTTCTGGGAAGGTCGTCTGCTTGGAGAGGGCACAACAGCTCCATGACCCGTGCCCCATACCTTTCAATGTGTATCTCTTCCATTTGGCTGTTTCGAATTGTGTCCTTTTATAACAAATAGGCCATAATAAGTAAAGAGCTTTTTTGAATTCTGTGAGCTGTTCTAGCAAATGATCTAACCTGAGAAAGAGGTCATGGGAACCTCTGATTTATAGCTGGTTGCTCAGAAGCACAGGTGACAATCTGGACTTGTGATTGGTATCTGAAGGTGGGGCAGTCGTGTGGAGTCTGCACTAAGTAGGTAGATAGTGTCAGAATTGAATTGAATTATAGTATTGGTGGAGAAGTGGAGAATTGCTTGGTATGGGAAAAACCCACACATCTGGGATCAGAAATGAAGTGTTCTGAAAATACTGAGTGTTGTAAGTGAGAGCGTAGAAAAGAGTTTGTTTTTCTTATTTACATGGCAGTCTTTCCTCATCCAGAAATCCAGGTTCTCCTGTTGGTTTTTTGCCCATATAACTGTATCCCACCAGGAATGTTAGCTCGCTTCTGTAATCCCAGCACTTTGGGAGGCCAAGGTGGGTAGATCACTTGAGCCCAGGAGTTTGAGACCAGCCTGGGTAACATGGCAAGACCCTGTCTTTATAAAAAATTAAAAAATTAGCCAGGTGTGATGGCATGTTCTGGTGATCCCAGCTATTCAGGAGGCTGAGGTGGGAGGATTGCTTGAGCCCAGGAGGTCAAGGCTACAGAGCTGAGATCGTGCCACTGAACTTCAGCCTGGATGACAGAACAAGATCCTGTCTTAAAAAAAAAAGAGAAAGAACTATATCCCAAAGATTTGGAGAAATGAGGATTGTTTTAGAATTGAGGATATCAGAAATGTAAAATGTTTTGGAATGATTGTTGATTAAAAGAGATTAATTGGTCTGCTCTTGTTATTTAGGAACACTGCCTCATGGGGATCAAAGGAACAGTGAAGCGTAGCACAGACGGGGACTTCATTCATGCTAATGTTGACATTGACTTAATTATCACAGAAGAACCTGAAATTGGCAACATAGAAAAACCTGTAGAAATTTTTCATATAATTGAGCATTTTTGTCTTGGTAGAAGACGCCTTCATCTATTTGGAAGAGATAGTACAATTCGACCAGGTAGGATCTCAGTTAAAACAAAAACTTTATGATTCTTTGGATTATGCATTTCAAGAAATAGGACATGGTACTGTGTAAAATAAAGTTCTTATGTGTTTGATTCATTTCTTGCTGTACTTAAAATATGAACAGTTTTAGGTATACAGCAAAATCAAGAGGAAGGCACAGAAACTTTCTATCTACCCTCTGCCCCGACACACGCATAACCTCCCCAGTTATCAGTATCTCCCACTAGAGTGGTACATTTGTTCCAAATGATGAACCTACATTGACAGTTCATAATCACCCAAAGTCCACAGTTTATATTAGGATTCACTTTTGGTGTGATAATTCTGTGGGTTTAGACAAATGTATAAGGACATGTATCCACCATTATAGGACCATACTCAGTAGTTTCACTGCCCTAACAATCTTCTGTGCTCCACTTATTCATCCCTCCCACAACCCTTGACAACCACTTATCTTTTTACTGTCTCCATAATTTGCCTTTTTCAGAATGTTATATAGTTGGAATTGTATACTATGTAGCCTTTTTAGATTTGCTTCTTTTATTTGGCAATTGGCATTTAAGATTTCTCTATGCCTTTTTATGGTTGGATAGGTCATTTTTTAGTGCTGAATAATATTCCATTGGATGTACCACAGTTTATATATCCATTTACCTAATGAAGGACATCTTCCAAAGTTTTGGCAATTATGAATAAGCAGCCATGGATATCTGTGTGCAGGCTTTTGTGTGGTCATAAGTTTTCAGTTCCTTTAGGTAAATACCAAGGAGCACAAATGCTGGATTGTATAAGAATATCTTTAATTTTGTAAGAAACTGCCAAGACTATCTTCTGAAGTGCCTGTACCATTTTGCATTTCTACCTGCAGTGAGAGTTCCTTTTGCTCCATATCCTCACCAGCATTTGGTGTTGTCAGTGATCAGGATTTTGGCAATTTTAGTGTGTGTGTAGTGGTATCACATTGTTGTTTTAATTTGCATTTTTTCTGATGACATATGATGTAGAACATCTTTTCATATGCTTATTGGCTATCTGTATGTCTTCCTTGGTGACATGTCTTTTAAGGTCTTTGGGCCATTTTTAATTTGGCTGTTTGTTTTCTTATTGTTGAGGTTTAAGGGTTATTTGTATATTTTGGAGAATAGTAGTACTTTATCAGATTTGTTTTCTGCAAATATTTTCTCTTAGTTCGTGACTGTCTATCTTTCTATCTGAAGTATTTTCACGTTGATATTCAGCTTTTTTGTATTATGGTATTATATTGCGAGCTCTAAATTTCTCTAAGCACAGCTTTATTGCATTCCAAAAGTTAGGCATGTAGTGTTTTATTATCTTTTATTTCAAGTATTTTTTTCAAATTTTCATTGTGATTGCATATTTAATCTATTGGTTATTCAGTATTATGTTGCTTAAGTTATTTTGTTACTGCTTTTGGGCTATATTGTGGTCAAATAACATATATTGTAAGGTTCACTTCTTTGTAATTTGTTGGGATTTGCTTTATGACTCAGTTTTAATAAATATTCTAAGTCCTATTGAAAAGAATGTGTACTCTGTTTTTGTTGTGGTTGTGGTATTAACTGTATGCTATGTAGATCACAAATATCTTACACTGATACTTTTAAAGTACTTGTTATTTGACAAAGGTCTGTTGAAATCTGTTATGGTTATGGATTTGTGGTTTCTTTGTTTAGTTGTCAGTTTTTATTTATATCTAATAGAGGCTCTGTTGTTAGGTGCATAGAAAAGGTGGAATTTTTATGCCTTCCTGGTAGATTGGTCTCCTTAATGCTATGAAATGTCCTTTATCCAGTGTTTTTGACCTTAAATTCTACTTCCCCTGATAGTATAGCTATTACAACTTTCTTAGGTTTGTGTTTGCGTGGCATATGATTTCCAGCCTTGTACTTTCAGTGTTTCTGTTGTTAGGTATAAGATGTATCTCTTGCAAATAAACACACAGTTGCTTTTTCATCCAGTTTATCTTTATCTTTTAATTGGACATTTAGTCAATCTATATGTAATGTAATTCCTGACATTTTTGGGCATAGATGACCATCTTCCTGTTTGCTTTATATTGGTACCACCTGTTCTGTTTCTTTTTCTCTCATTTCTTTTGGATTAATTACTCTTTTATCATTTCATTGTTATGTATTCTTTTGTTGTTCTTACGTTGATTATCTTGGAAACTGCAGCATGGATCCTTGAATTATTAAATTCTAAATTAAAATAGTATAGATTTTTAAAGAGTGAGAATACTATGGCTTAATCTTTAGAATTTCCTTAATTTTTTAAGCCAATTTTTTCCTCAATATGCATATAGATCATACGTTTATTATTTTATACACAGTATATATATATATATATGGCTATGTAATGAAATTTGAGTTGTTTAGACTTCCTCTGCAAATATACATGAACATGTTGTTTGAAAGTTCTATGGATGACTTTATTCTCTTATAAAAGTAAAATATTTTTTGGCAGCAGAGCTTGTGGTAAGCAATTATTTACCCTTCACTGAGTTAAGAGAAAATAATGTCTCTAAAATTTCAACTGAAGGAGTGTGTTTGTTCAGGAAGCATAAGTGTCCATATATATTACATATCAAGAATATGGCTATCATGTTTTAGTAAATAAAGAACAGATTTTTCTCTTCCTTTTATTAACCTGTCCTGCACAAATATAGCTCCTGAATCTGAGAATAATCTCAGTGGCAACTGCTGTTTAAGGAAACAGAAAACTTAAGAAAAAACAAAACTATTAGAAGAATAAAAGCAAATATCAGATGGTAATCTCTTAATAATTGAAAAGTTAATGTAACATTTAGGAAAGTTTCGAATAATTATTTTTTTACATAATACTTTTCAATCCCTGTGCATACAAATTTTATTGTATTTTATTTATTTACTAAAACAAGATATATACCTGTGAAATCTTTAAAATATGACCACAATTCAGTGCCATTCTGTAAGAGATCAATATT